GAAAAGTTACTAAGATAGTTGTCTAAAGGTACAAAAATATTATGGTTAAATTGGGTGTATGAGATGTAAAACATTTGTGAAAATAATAGCTACTTTTTGAGAGATACACAAAATAAACAGAATTTTGAAAGTTTCGTGACAAATGTAGTCATTTTAGTAACAAATTATATCGCATCAATGACACTGTTAGTTATTTTAACGATACGCTTACTGGGTTGCCAACTCACCCGACACGTTATCGACAACTCAACCACACTGGCCATATAGATGCCACATCACATTTTACTTTATAAATAAATTAAAAAAAACTATCAATTAATTTCTCCTTCTTCTCTCCACTTCCCACCACCCGTGCAGACTACAGATCCATCGACTAAAGCTTAACGACCTCGAATGTTCACCTCTCGACGCTCTTCTCTACCAGACTCTGGAGATGAATGGCAGCTCATGGCGTGCATCTTCTGTCCTCACTTTCCTGGTCCCCTCCACCGTTAGCGTCTATTATTTCCCTTAATTTCGTCCCACCACCACCATCCCTTCCAACTACCTAGAAACCTCTCACCTTCACCAGTTGGGCTGCTCTCTGCCTCTGTTTTGATCGACAGTAAAACAGGATCCATGAGAAGAGTGGTTCAGGAGAGGCTTGAACTATGCAGGGGAGAGGGGAATCATAGTCTTCTTCACTTTGATGCTTTCGGTTTTCTGATTTAATCCACTCCCACAGTGTTTGTTTGTGTCGCTCTTCGATAGAGTCCTCTCCAAGTAATGAAGCACTTGGGAATCAGGATCTGGGCTGCGCGTAATCTTCTCTTCAGCTGCCGGTGTAATGGTAGGTGACAGCCCCTTTTAAGCTTCTTTGGCAGCAGCGGGAGAAGATTCAAAGATGCTGATGATAGCGGCGGCAGGAGAAGGTTGTCCTCGTCAGTGTTCCTGCCGCCTTCACCCCGCCCTCACATGCAAACAAAATCGATTCTCAATCGAATCTTAGGATTCATTCTATATCAATTGGAACAAAACCCTAGGTCATAAACTTTTCTTCTGGGTTTCTCAAATCCAATCAACAAAAAACTCACTCCCATCCCCATTTGTTCAACGAAGGAGAAGAAGATAGCTAGTGCATAGTGGTGCTCGATTTCAAAACAACGAAAAGAACACCCTTTGTCAAGTCCCTGCGGCAGTGCAAGAACAAGGATATGGCGACATCTCACTTGAAATCCCAAAGCCTCCCTCATCTGTGCCGAGGAATGGTGTAGTTTCGGGTTCGTCAGTTTGGGACTTATGGGTTCTGTGATGAATCGTCGACGACGACGAAGTATAAGACGTGAGGAGCACCCGGTTCTTGTCGCAAGAAGAAGAGAGGTGGTTTTGCATATGAAGACAGGGTCAATGGCGGGTGGGTGGTGAGATCTTTAGATGGATTCGGTGAGTGAGATGCAACCATTAGAGAAGCTCCATTTCCAGTTCAACGAGGTAGAGAAGCGGCAACGACGGCTGCTGGAGTAGAGTATGTCACAGAGGGAAGGAGGGAGCGTGCATTGGATGGAGACTTTTCAGCTCCATTTTTAAATTAATCCAGCGTGGAATTGGCACTAGAGAAACTCGCCAACTCAGCCTTTTCGTTTTTCCATTATGCCTATTGGCCAGCACCATTAAAGAATTGGACGGAATTGGCTATTTTGTGTATTTCATGAAAAGTGGCTATTATTGGCAAGACCACGAAAATTTTGGCTCTACAAGTGTATTTTGCCAACAAAAAATTACATAAACAACTCACCATAGGAAAAAAGAGTTTATTGTAAATTTGAACGTAGACAATAAAAAATCCGATGAATAATGAAAAAGTATCGTGATAGCTGTCTAAAGGCTAAAAAATTATGGTGAAATTGGATGTAAGAGATAAAAAAAATAAAAGACTACATAAACAAGCGACTGTAGGAAAAGTAGCTTATGGTAACATTTGATGTAGAGTATGAAAAATCATGTAAACGTTGGAATAAGTACCGAGATAGTAGTTAAAAGGTAAATAAAAATATTATAGTCAAATTGGATGTAAATGTTGGAATATAAAATATTTCATAACAAATGACTATGGAGAAAAAGAACTCATGGTAAAATTGGTTGTAGAGTAAAAAAATTCAGTGAGCTACTACTTGCGAGAAAAAAGAGCTTATGATAGAATTAATTGTAGGGTATAAAATATTTGGTGAACCGTAGACACTAAAGAAAAGGTGAAATAAATTTAATACTACACCAATTTTTTTTTAGTAAGGAATAATTATTTTAACTTGCTTATACATGCATACAACTTCGATGAAAAAAGTTAACTTACCTTACAAAAATTTTGTGAAATGCAAATTGATGAGATGATGAGCATTGTAGCTAAATCCAGTTTACCAAACCCTTAAAAAAAGAGAAACAAATGTAATCCTATCCTAATATTTTAGTAAGTTGTGATTTTAACTTGTACTTTATTTATATATATAAAGTTGAAGTGAGGTTACTGTTACCTAAAAATTTACAATTTGATACCCCAAATTTAATTAAATCACAACTTAATCACTATAATGTATATTTTACATTTTGATACCCAAATTTAATTTTAATGTAAAATAATTGAAATTTATATTTTGATATCTAAATTTTATGAGATATTTATACCTATAGTTTTTAAAATTTACATATTGGTCCAATGTTTAGATTTCTTTTGAATCCATGAATCCAATCCACCAATTCTTTTGAACCAATCCATGAATCCAATTCACCATAACATAAAGTATAAATTTAGTTTGTACAATACAAGATATTGTATAACGCTACTTTAGGAGAAGATTCGACCATTTTACAAGAGCGAATTTGTAAACTCATTTAATACATTTACGGGTACTAAACAAACTTTTGCTAACTACATGTAACAAAATATGTGACATCTTCAAAAGCAAGTGTCAATAAATTGCTACGGTGAAAAGGGTTGACTTTTGTATTGACGGTCAACTAAAAGAATTGGTCAAAACCTTTCCATCATCTATTTCCTCTTCGTTTCATTTTTCACTAACCTTCCATAGACCATAACGCTTTCTTTATTTCTTTCTTTGCCTTCTTTGTCTAACCCTAATTAGTATACTATTTTTATGTATTCTAATCACAAGTATTAACGGGTCCATACACGACTCACCAACAGGCTAGAGAACTAACAATTGAACCATGAACCACTAACTTTTTCAGCTCAATGTCGAGTCTAATTAAAAATAAATATAAATGGTTATTACTTATTATAAAATCGTCATTTTCCACTTTGGGATTTGAGGGCGTGAAATTTAAGCGAGTTGCAGTTTTTATTCCTTTTGCTTCGCTCTAGAGTTTTTCTGTTTCACCCGGGCTAGAATTTTCAACAATTATACATGGAATGTTTGGCTAAGTATCAAATTAATATTTTCCATTTTTATACCAAAAAAGTAAATAATTATGATCTTAAATACATCACCATAAAAGGAATTAAGCCTCAACTATGCAAATTACAGGTTTGCACCTAAACTTAATATATCTTTAGATGTATAACCTAAATTTATTTTTGTGACATATAAGTCCTCAAAATATTGATGAAACAATACATTTTAGTACCTAAAATATTTGTGTATTATATTTTGGTACCTAAACTTTTGAAGTTTTGAGGTCTAATTTTTGTATGTTTAATTAAAACTAGGGGTGTTCAAACGGTTTGGTTACCATGGTAACCGTTTTAACCAGTACTATTTGGATAATTTGGTTTGGTTAATTTGGATAATTGGTTTGGTTTGGTTAAAGTTTTTAACTTGTTTGGTTTAGGTGGTTTGGTTTGGTTTCAGACACTCCTAACCAGTCAAACCAAATTAACTAGTTAAGTAATTAGTCATATATCTAACATATATTATATACACATACTTAATACTTTGCATAACCACTCAAGAGTTAACGTTCATCCCTTTTAGACTCATAAAATATAAAGCTCAATATTGCTCATATAGTGTATATTTGTATATGTAAAATGTAGACCACAACATATGGACGCCTAATTTAGATAAATTTCATACATTATGATGGATGAAAACTTGAAAGAAAGGTCATTTCCAGCCTATGATAATTGCTAAGAGACTAAATCAATTTACACAAACACAATAATTCATTAACCCATACCATTGTCATAAATTTTTGTTAGGTGCATACTTCTATACTAATCGTAAAATAATTGTCTTAGTTGCATGTATTTTTGTTAAGGGTCAACTATAACTACGTGTTGATTGTTATGTTTTATTCATTATATAAATTGCGAATTGTTGCATTAACCAGAAAATTTTCATCGTCAATGATAATGTGATTTTATATTGGTTAATCTGGTTAACCAATTAACCAAACCGATTAAACTTTAGTTTGGTTAATTTGGTTGTTGTATTAATTTGGACGGTTTGGTTATGATATTGTATTTCATGGTTAATGAAATTTAGCCTTATTTGGTTTGGTTATAACCATGGTAACCATTTGAACACCCCTAAAACACCCTCGAATACATGGGTATCCATACCTAACTCATACAAAATTAGATTATGCAAGTAAATATCCATACCCTACCTAAACCATCTACAAAATTTCAAACTCATATATACGTCAAACATACCCTACCTATAATAATCAATGGGTCTAATTGGGTTTTGGTAAATATCATTTACTAGCCAAAATTTTCAAAAATCTTTAAATTGGATGTTGACCGCCATATATGTATTCTCAGTCAATATCATATTGTCAAATCAATATTACTAACAAAACTGCTGACAAAAAATTAATGTTAGCCTAATAATACTAATAAAATATCATAACGGGCCACATAATACATGCAAATAGGCCATCTCCGTCCACGACAAGACGCGAGATAGATGTTTTTGCCGCACACGTGCATATTTTCATATAGTCCTAGCTACAGTTTGTATATATTTCCCAGATTCATGAATTTGGTTGTTGATTATATACAGTGACATGATGAATTTGATACTGGAGAAAGGACACAGTCGAGTCCCGGTGTACTATGAGCAGCCATCCAACATAATTGGGTTGATCCTGGTACACACTCTCCTCATCATAAACTAGCTAGCCACTCCTTTTCTCTTTTCACTCCTCCGATCCTTCCATTTTTCGAGGTGCTTCAAATTCTTTGTTCTCCTGTGTGGTGACATGTATGGATATCGTACTCTGTTTTTAGGCCAAGAATTTATTGACAATCCACCCTGAAGATGAGACCCCTGTGAAGAACGTGACGATACGTCGAATACCAAGGTTTCTACTAATCAATCATGTTTTACAACTTATTTTTTAGCAGGAGAGAAATTTTATTACTCTCATTCAAACTTGTGCTTTGTTGGTGTTGTTTCGGTTGTTCGTGTCTCTACCACAAACTGACGATGCTTCACTTACTACTGCTTTGTAGGGTTCCAGAAAATTTGCCTTTGTATGACATACTGAACGAGTTCCAAAAGGGTCACAGTCACATGGCTGTCGTTGTAAGCAAGTGCAACAAAACAGAACACCAGCAACAAAATCCACCTCTCAGTAGTTCAGCAAACAGTAAGTCACTATTTAGATGCCTCTGTTTTTGTTCCCTTGATGTAGATTAATGAATTAGTTTACAACCAAACATGGGGGAAGGCATTCGAGTTAAGGAAGTGAGAGTTGACGTGGAGGGGAAGCAGCCTCACAAGGAGAAGTCATTTAGGAGGACCAAGACAAAGTTTGAAATGTGGAAGAGCTTTGCCAACAATAGCGGCAGTTCGTTGAAGAGCACTTCAAAGAGTAGGAGATGGGCAAAGGATGTCGACTCGGACATCCTCCAAATCGATGGCTCTCTCCCAACGCTTCATCAGGAAGAAGAATCTGTTGGAATCATATCAATGGAAGATGTCATTGAAGAACTTTTACAGGCATGCCAACAAATAAATTTTGTCATCTGCTTTCTTCTTATCCATTACTTCGCTCTGCTCGGGTGAACACTTAAATTTTTGTTGCTTCTCACTTTCTCCTCACCATTTTTGTTGCATTCAACAGGAGGAGATTTACGACGAGACAGACCACCACTACGAGGAGTAGCTACTATTCAAGAAATTAAATTTGATGTATCACCTCGTCTATATGATAAAATATATATGTAAAGAGTGTACTTGAAATTTTTTATTTTTTTTTACTTACCATCGATAAGGAAATTGTATTGTCCTCGTCCTTCTTCTCAAGACATTGTTCGTTTTGGGTCTCTCCTTATAACGTTCTGTTTTTGGATGCATCATGGTCAAGAGGTCATCCATCTCTGCACTACTTCACCCTCAACATGTTTAATTTCAGAGTTCTTACAAAAACTCATTCATTTCACTCCAAAACGTGTTTTGTCAGTTAATGTTGAATTATTCCTTATATACCTCCTGCATCTCACCCATGCTTTACTGATGTGGAATTTTCCTAAGGTGTTACATTACATCCCCTTTAGTTTATCCATGTTTTGGTTTGAATCTTGATCAAATTTCTCAATTATTACTTTAACCTATGAATAGAGTACCTTCAATTGATGGTAGTGAATCGATTGTGTGAATAGTGGATCAATTCACTTCTTTGTACCAGATTTCCATACAATAGAGGGAATCTTACCATATGGCTTTGATATTCTATTCTGGCCGAGGATAATCTTCCTATGTGTAGTTTAATCATGAGGATTTGGAATGCTTTAGTCGAGATTCAAACTAATTTTGGATTCTCCACAGTAAAGTATCAAGTGAAACACTAGGTAATAATCAACATCGACCTAACTAAGAACTAGGGGGAACAAACCCGAGTGAGTTTCTCACCCCTGAAGTCGAATCAAATTACTTGTCTTGTTTTCATTAATTTTAATGAACCTCACGACAAACGATTTCCTAAATATCAGCCATTTCACAGAATAAGAGTACAGCTAGCACGCCAGGTTGACAAATTAAGACTTTACACCACTATAATGCTTCCTAATTTGTTCTTGCACTTGGCCATTATTTGGAGTTGTAGTAAAAGCGAGTCAAGGAACCCCAAGTACCTCCTTCTATACTTTTTGCTCACCTAACTTTAGTTATGCTCAATATGTGTGAGACGCCCATTCTCGCTTTCGGTCACAATATCAATGTAAATAAATTATTTCCAGTTCTCACTATATTTTTGGTAATATTTTTTATCTTAACAATATCAATGTAAATCACTAGGGATAAGTCAGGCAACCATGAAAATAAAACGCAAGTAGAGTTGAGATTTGCAAGTATTGTCTTGCCAGTTGGAGTCTGTTGAACAAAATAAAATAAAAAAAAACATAAATAGCCCCAAGTAAATTTATTTTTGAGGGAAATCTGTTGATGACGTTCTTAGAGTTCAAAGTTTGTATTTAAAACTTGGTGCTAGATTTAAGAACCTAAAGAAGGAATTTGAAGCTGAAGTTTCTGAACTGAAAACAGAGTTAGAGGAACTGAAACATAAAAAAATGATTTCTGATGAAAAAGTAGAAGTTGTTATTGAAATCTCAACTTTAATGGTTGAATTAGAAAAATTAAGGAAAGAAAATGAGATTGACAAAGGTTCTGATATTGCATATGAATTGGAAGCTCTAACAATTATGATAGCTTGCTTAGAAGCTTAAAATTTTTCACTGGGAAGTAAACTATCTGCTGCTGAAAATAAATGCTTGTTTCTGGACTTTCTAGCTTTATGTTATTTAGAGACGTTAAATATCATGAGTGCAATAAATGAGGTCATACTAGTTTTTTATTTCTGAGTGATATCAATGGAAAATAATAGTTAAGCTTACAATTCTACCCAGGACCCCCTAAAAGACTCTAAAGAAGTCACCCCAAAAAATCAAAAGATTCTAGCTCTACACGAGACAAAAGCAGTGCTTTAAGCGCGACTCTATGGGCAGCACTGTTGGCGGATCTAGGTACCGTCCTAAACTCTATAAACAGGCAAAGAGCTAAGGATCTGAAGACACTCTCGTAACACCGGACCACCAATCGAGTCTTCTAAGACGCCTTGACGGGCTTGGTTGACGACCACTTCGGAATCACCATCGACTATCACGTGACTCAAGGATCTTGAGGCTACAAAGGATATAGCATCCCTAAAAGCTAGAAGCTCTTCCAGATAAGGGTTGACTATTCCTTGATGCTGCAACCCGAACGCCAACATCACATGCCCGTCTGACCCACGAATAACAAGCCCAGACGAACACCCGGAGGCACAAACAGCTGTGTCGACCTTGATCTTCAAAAAGCCTTCTGGTGGAGGGACCCAAGTGGTGGCATGAAGGTTTGGGAGTAGAGAGCTGCGGGGAGGAGGGGGAGAAGAAGACTGGAGATTCGAGGACCTGGTTGTAGAACTGTCTGGCTAGGGTACGGACATGAGGTTGGATAAATTCAAAGGTCACTTTATTTCTAGACTTCCAGATTCTCCAAAGTAAACAGACGCATTGGAGAATATGGAATGGGGAGGTCTCGGAGACCATGACATGTCGCCACCATAGACTAAAGTTAACAGTTTGGGCGGTCTCAATAAAGTTGCTCAATCCCACTAAAGTCCACAATCTGATGGCTAGAGGGCATCTGAATAATAAATGTTCAATGCTTTCTCAATGTCTCCAGCAGATAGGCCATTACTGTGGGAAGTATGACTTTGAGGCATTGTCATATGAAGAATCTAAGCATAATTAATATGGTACAAATTAATTTCATAATTATCCATTGGTCCCAATTAATATGAAAAATGGACAAAGAAGGAAATGTAACTAAATCCCTTAATTAATCACCCAATTACTCCATGTTTCAAATCCCAGCGATAAAATAGACATTGGATTTGTTTTACAACACTAGCCCAATAATTGATGGGCTAATTATTCTAAAAATAATAGGTTGATCAGTGACACTATCGAGTGAATTAGAGGGAAATCAACACCATTATTAAAGGGAGGGCGAGAGTTAATACCCACACTAATCACAGGCTAGCACCCGGTGAGATACAAAGATTGAGCGTAATCATTTGAATAGCAATTAATTTTTAAATATGGAGAACCGCAAAGTTAAGAGCCAATAACTACAAGGAGACTTTTTAGCTTCCATGAACCAAAATAAGCGCTCACCTCTTTACCTCGGAATTTACTTCCATTGATGGCTAGGATTATGGTCAAGAAAACCGCTCAATAAGTCGAAGCGATTAATGCGAAATAATTTCGCATGAGTGGCCATCGGCGGGAACTTTGTCGGTGGGGCAACCACCATGTTTGGCCGCAGTCTCGTCAAATAATCGGAAGTGGATACTGAAGTAGCCACCAGAGGAATAGACTGAACCCTTGTGCCAAAGAAACTTTGAAAGTCAGAAATTAATTCTGGAAATCAAGAATTAAATTCGTTTTATCGCATAATTTGAGATATAAACCAACCATTAAAGGTTGTAAAGCACCATAAATGATGCCTTTAGTGACTCCTTAATCACTTAAAACGGATCATTAAAGACCCAATAACATCAAATAACATAATAACTGATGTATTAAAACCAAATAATCGAAACGGACCAATGGGCCATAAATTGGTACTTTACTTTTCGGCGGAGGAAAAATTAATTGCAGCGCCAGACCAACAGAGTCGCCGGAGACATGTGTTTCCAGTCGGCGGAGGAGCTTCTCAGCTGGCCGCCGCTTGATGAATCCCCATCGTTTCCCTTCTCAGCAATCAATCCCTTCAACTTTATTCCCCTGCCGCCTCAGCAGCTCGATGGAGTCCGGCGCGTGTGAGTCCCGATCCACGTCGAAGTCCCTGAAATTGAACTCCCAGATGAACCTCTGCGCCGCTCCGGTTCCCAGATCCGGCAGGTTGCCGTCGGAGTCGGACAGGGGGAGGCCGACCTGGATGAGATTGAGCGCGTCGACGTTGGATTTCAGGAGCTTGCAGTGGTCGGAGGGGTTTTGGTGGCGGTAGGAGTAGTGGTTGTTGAACGGCTTGAAGACAACGCCCGAGAACTCGGTGTCCATGGAGATGAAAGGGAACTCGTTGATTGTGGCGCGGATGAGGTCAAATTCGGATTCCAGGTTGGAGGCCCAGACTTCCCTGATTACGATCGGCGGCGACGGGGGAGGAGGGGTGGAGTAATGAGGTCATACTAGTTGATACTGTAAATTCTAGATGAATAAAACTGACGAAATTGAAGAGGAATATGATGAAAGGATTGAAGCTTAGGTAGCTGTAGCTGAATGATTGTAAATTCTAGTAGCCAAGAAGTAATCGAGTAGTCGTACTCTCGAGTAGTCGTACTCTAACTACTCTTCATCTGAATGATTGTAAATTGAGGCGATAATTCCCAATACAATCCACCAATCCATTAAAACTATCCAACTAATTCAATCCATTGAAATCCAATCCGTTTAAATCTAATCCATTTGATCCAAATCCAATTGGATTTGTGGATTCATTGATCATTGGCAAATTACAGTTTTGTATTTATAATTTTTATTTTTTTGTATTTTGGTAACTAAAATTTAATTTTTTATACGAAAATATTATTGAAAATTTAAATTTTTGTACCTAAAATTTTTCATTATGACATTTTAGTACATAAACTTTTCACAAATTACATATTGGTCCAAGATTGAGGATGTCATTTGGATCCATGAATCCACTAATCGACTTGATCCAATTCATTTGATCCAATCTATTTGATCTATAGATCGATCAATCCAATCAACCAATCCATGAATCCAACCTATTTACCACCTATAATTGTAAATACTACTTCCCCACTTGTATTTGAAATCCCCCCACCACCAATTTTTATAAGATTCCAGGGATCCTTTCTTTTTCTAACGAGGACCTGACCGAAACAAAATGGCTTTCTCTAACGGCTACTTCCAAGTTTGAGTGTTTGACACTACTTTTAAGAAAATAAATAGCTCACTCCCACTATCCGACTCTCTAGTCCAAATTAACGATCTAATCCCTTAAGACCATCCCCATCCGTGATAATGGGGGCAATTGCATGCCTATGTGGCACTCCCTTGCAATTGAAAAGGTGAGTGGCATTGTTGGAGGAAGGGTCTCTTTTTGTGCAAATTTGCACACCATGAAAGTGGTCATGCAATTGCAAGGTAGGCCCCTCTTTGTTTTTTTTTCTTCTTTCTTTACTCTAGGTGGTGGACGGTTTCTCTTCCTTTCTTTTGGGGAATATCATTTGTTGTCTTCTCTACTTGCTTTTCACCCCACATAGATTTTAATGCATTTTTTTATAATGGTGAAACTAATATTAACAAAACCAAAAAAAGAACGGGCAAACCAAATACAAGAAGAGTTAGCAGCACAAGCTGTGCGCTCTCTAAAGAGTCAGAGAAAAGAAAATAAAAGAAAATGAGAAAAATAAAAGGTAGCACGGGAGTCCAGAAGCTAGGCCTACTGAAAAGCCCCTGCTCTCAGCTAACACCAAAGATTAGCACAAACCAAACCAAGCAAAAGCAAAACAGGGAAAGAAATCAGAGTCAAGCCCGAGAACAGCAACGCCAGCAACAGCAGAAAAGCAGGGCTGGTCTTGAAAAAACACCAGGGAGCTAATAACTCCCAGGCCACGAAAATAGTAAAAGCATCCCTGGGGAACACACTCTCAGCAGAAACAGGCCAGCCCAGACGCCTTGACTCCTTATTCCCTGACCAGCCAGAACCGCCATCATATCCCAATCAAGTTATCCCTAAGCCATCTGATACGTTGATCAACTTCCACTTTTCCAAGAGCAGTTAACCACTCCATCAGGTTCTTGACAGCCTTGCGAGCAACCACCCCCTGCAAGCGAACTATTATCTTCAAATACGCGCTGATTCCTTTCGAGCAACACATTCCACCAAACAGCGTGAAGGATACATTCCTTAAACCATGAATCCATACTCTCCGAGGTTCCCGAATCCCAGCTGTTCCCATGGATGTGACTCCACACTGCCGAGACAAACTCACACTCAAGGAACAGATGCAGCACTGTTTCTTCTTTACACTGGCAGAGGAAGCATCTATTAGCTAGGTTCCACCCCTTTTTCATCAGATTATCCATGGTGAGAACCCTGTTGAAATACACCAACCACATAAAGAAACTAGTCTTGCTGGGCACAATCGAATTCCACACTTTCCTCGCAGGGAAGTTCGACTCGCCATGGAAATTTTCCTTCACCAGAACCCTATACATGGATATCACTGAAAATTTGCCATTCGAATCAGGATTCCAAATCATTCTGCAAGGACTAAATGAATCTTTAAACACATTAATAAACTCAAGCAGATTTAATAAAACACGACGTTCCCTCTCAGCCCCACCCCTTAAAGAAAATTTAAGATTAATACACCAACTCACCCTCTCACCATTTAGGTTGGCAGTGTCCGAAATCATGTCATTGGGGGCCGAGGCCGCAGCAGCAATGCGGGGAAAAGCTTTAGATAATAGTCTTCCGGGGACCCAAGGATCGTGCTAGAATGAAACTTGAGTGCCGTTCCCGGGTTCCAAGCTAGCAAAACTCCATAAATTCTCGTACTCCTTCGTGATGTTAGCCCAAACAGACCGGGAGAAACCCCTACAAGCTTTGGAGTGTGCCAAAACGAGTCCGGGTTAGGATATTTAACAATTATCAACTCTCACCACCAGCTCTTTCTCTCAACAGCGAATCTCCAGAACCACTTAGTCATCATTGAGTCGTTGAACGTCTTCAAATCATGAATTCCTAACCCCCCATCTTCCTTTCCAACCTTACACATGTTCCAATCAACCAATGGCAGCCTACTGTCTACACCTCCTCCATTCCACAGAAAATTCCTTTGAATCCTCTCCATGTTTTTAATGACAGAGACTGGTGCCTTGAAAAGGGAGAATAAGTAAGTAGGCATAAATGAGAGGACCTCTTTGGCAAGGACCAATCTGGCTCCATATGATAAGTGTTTGCTACCCCATTTACTAAGCTTACTCTGCATCTTCCCCACAACCAAATCCCAAATGGCAGATTCGTTCGCTTTAGCTCCAAGAGGGAACCCGAGGTACTTAGGAGGATTTCTACTCCATTCACACCCGAAAATAGCAGCAAAAAAGCTTGGATCCACCACATGTCCAACTGTATACATCACGGACTTGTCTAGATTAATTCTAAGGCCATAAACGGTCTGGAAGCAAGTGATTACAGCCAGCAAATGGAGCACCTGATCATACTCAGCATCGCAAAAGATGAGGGTATTTTCGGCGAACAACAAGTGGGTAACCTCCCCCCTCTTCAACTCTTCATTCATGTAAAAACCTTCAAACTTACCTTCTTCCCGAGTCGATTTCAACATCCATGACAGCACCTCCATCACCAAAACGAAAAGACCAGGCGAGAGGGGATCCCCTGGCGCAACCCCTTAGAAGCCGCGAAGAAACCATTAGCTTCCCCGTTGACCAAAACTGAAATGAAGGAGGAGCACATAGTACCTTTAACCCACTGATCCGAGAAACCAGCAGCAGTTAACAACTTGCAAAGGAAGTTCCAATCGACGTTATCGAAGTTAATGCATTTATTTCATGGTTAATGTGATTATTTTATATAAATAAACTATAACATGATTAAAACTTCAATATTCACATATATTTCAAAATAATACATCCATTCAGTACAAATCGAAAAGAAAAACACACTAAACACATCAAGACAACTATTACATGATTAATTGAATACACTCACAAATTAAAACAGATATAAAGCATTAAACATTTTAATTTTAATCAAATTAAAAACTCGGAAAGGAAAACCACAATCCAATGAAAGTATAATGATAAATTAATTATCACCTAGTAGCTCATTCATTTGAAACTCATGTAGCTTTCTTTGAGTTTCTGTCATTGTTGTTGGATCCATAGCCAATAATTTGATGATCAGCTTATCTTTCCGACGTTGTTCTTTTGACTTCAAATCAGCGTCCGTAATGGTAAAAAATTTCCTCATTGCTTATACCTTTTCCATTTCAATTTCGGCTTGTCTTTGTAGTAACTGCATGTTTTCTGATGATTCTGATGACATAGAATTTTGTTTACCTTTATCCTTGGAGGCTTTTCTACCTGAGGGGCGAGGATGAGATACGGTCTCTGGCTCTCCCATGGATGGCATGGTTGTATTTGAAGATGATGAAGTGTATTGACTAGAAGCGGTATTTTTAGTCCTCTTCGATCATCCTCTATCTTCATCATGGTCAAGAGGTTTAGCCTTCTCACTTTGACTCCCACATTTCTCTTCATCCTTTAAGACAACCCAAGCATGCATAAAAACAAAATCTTTACCGTCATTTTCAAGATATAACTGCTTTGCCCTGTTCTTCTTGTCTTGATGAAGCCGAATGCCACAGATATTGCTCGCTTGCTCCATGTAGGACAACAAAGAGGTTTCCCAGTTATGCTAGGAAGTATTGATTGTATGCATTGGGAGTGGAAAAATTGTCCAACGGCTTGGAAGGATCAATATGCTAGACGGGATCATAAAACTCCTACTATTATGCTTGAAGTTGTTGCTTCACAGGATTTGTGGATATGGCATGCATTTTTTGGTCTTCCGGGTACATTAAATGACATAAATGTGCTAGATGGGTCTCTTGTTTTCCATAGGTGTTAGAAGGAAAAGCACCAAAGGTTCAGTATTCTGTTAATGGAAGTAACTATAATTTGGGTTACTACCTCACTGATGGTATTTATCCTAATTGGGCAACATTTGTCAAGGCAATCCCATTACCTCAAGGACCGAAGCACAAGTTATTTGCAAAGAAGCAAGAGGCAGCCATGAAAGATGTTGAAAGAGCATTTGGGGTACTCCAAGCACGATTTGCAATCATTAATGGTCCATCACGCATGTGGTGCAAAGGTATAATTGGAGACATCATGAGAGCATGTGTAAATATGCACAACATGATCGTGGAAGATGAGCGGGATTCATATTTCGTCATTTTGATTACACATACGACGAAGTGAACTTTAATGTATCCATGCCAAAAGTTTCTCAATCTCATCTCCCTGAATATGAAGAGTATCTTCGAAACAATGCAAGAATTTGTAATCGTTCAACAAATAGCCGACTTCAAGTTGATTTGATA